AATTTTTTTTTCACATTTATATATATATATATGTAATAACCTCGGTACTCACATTTAGCAATGTCAGTCAAACGTTAAACCTCAGAACAATTGCTGTTCCAACGCAAAGATGGATTATATGATACCAAACCAATAAATAAATAACAGAATAATCTTGTAAGACTGAAATTCCTAACGTAATTATGTGTGCGTGTGTATCCTTGCTTTGTAATAATAAGGGTACATTGTTAGTTTGCTACTGTCATTCTAACGATCCGGTAAAATCAGTTACTGTTATTAATGTAATAAAAATACAGAATTTTTCTTTGCATGTAGTTGTATGTTTTTAGAGGATGTAGTTGCATTGGGGTTTTTGGTCAGTAATCTAGGTGCATTTGACTTTGCAGTTCTTATTATTGTTGGGCCAACCAAAAGCTTACGGCCCAGGTCGCTTACTAGACCAGCCCAACCAGTTAACAAGGTCCAGCAAACCTTCAAGACCAAAACTAGCATGAGATGAAGCCGAAAATGTTTGGACCCAAATATGTGGTCAAGATACCAGTACGGCAATAACTAGTTAACTACTGCTCCTCAATTCACTTTGGTGTTGACCTCACAATCACACTTTCAACTCTGATATCACATTTGAAAAACTGGCTGAATTAGTATTAATTTTATGTATTTACCAGTACACGTCCTTATTCTAGGAAAATTTCAATTATTCAATAAACCTTGATTATAATTCATTAATTCCTAATTGAATCAGGAAGCATAAATCATCCCAATAAAGAAAAATTAAATACACAGACCGTACATATTAACTAAACTTCGAAATCAATTCTGTCCCTTTGAACATAATACTTAAGAAGGTTGAATTACACAACTAAAATGTGGACCCAATTTGATGTGAGCAAGAGCACATAAGCTCTTTGAGATTCAAAAATACTAAACCAGAATTAAGAGTTTCTCTTGCTCTTGTTTTAGATGAAGGAATTAGTAGTGCATTGGTTTATGGGGAGTATTGCAGAAGGAGTAGGGATGATAAAACAATTCAGGTCAACGGATCAACCCATTAAGTTGTCAAAAATTGGTGGATTGAGTTGAACATCCTTATTTGGGAACTTGTTTAACCCATCATGTTTAACCTACTTAATCTATCATGGCCAGATGAATAGATTAAATCCACCTAATGTTATGATGGTTTATTTATTTATTTATTTATTATTATTATTATTATATTTTTAACGTTAAATTTAAATAAATTATATGATATTTATTATGTGAGTTATTTGTAATTTGTTGTATAATAAATATATTATTCATTTGATTTATTTTATTCTATGTAATTTAAGATTTTTTGTTTAATAAATTTGATAGAAAAAATATTATTATTATAATTATATATTTATTTTATTATGTAGCAAATTTAAAATTTGTTGTGCAATAAATTATACTAAATTTGTTATAATATAAAATTTATTTTATTATTTAGATATATAATCCTTTGAATATTAAGAAAAAATATATTAAAAAAAATATTCAAAATAAATATGTAAAAAAATTAATTTTCTTTTGGTATAATAAATAAGTCGTTCAACCCATTTTTATTTGATAAACTAGTTTAATCCATTTTTCAGAGTCACATACCAATAACTGAACAAGTCTAAATGAATTGAAATGACCCAATTTATCATTCCTCGAGGGAGATTGCTATAATTAGAATGGAATGATATAAAAGAAAATTGTTAAATGCGTGTAGAATCCCCTGTGGAGACCATTGTCCGGTTCCCCTTATTTTCACAGCCCCAGAGAAAAAGGTACTTGAAAGAAAGATTCTCTCCTGAGTCCTGTCCAAGATATAGAAATTAATCTCCTTTCTAAATGAAAAAATCAATAAGTAGTATAACATTTATATGTATATAATAATTATTAATTTTTATCATCTTACTTTATTAAAAATCTGCAGCTGATGACGCCACTGCACACGAAAAATATTTGAAAAGAAATATAGGTTAACAAGAGTAAATAAATAAATATAAGAAAAGAAAAGGCGACGTCCTCTAATATGCGCACATTTGTTATAATTGGAAAACATACAACACAACAGCAACGTGGATTTATATTTATTATAATTTTTTGTGATGAGCAAAATTTGCGAGCACACAGGCAGGCAGGGAGATATGGAAAGATAAAAATGGACAAATATGAAGATAAGTTGGTCCCACTTATTTGCTCTTCACCTAATGTTATGATGGTTTATTTATTTATTTATTTATTATTATTATTATTATATTTTTAACGTTAAATTTAAATAAATTATATGATATTTATTATGTGAGTTATTTGTAATTTGTTGTATAATAAATATATTATTCATTTGATTTATTTTATTCTATGTAATTTAAGATTTTTTGTTTAATAAATTTGATAGAAAAAATATTATTATTATAATTATATATTTATTTTATTATGTAGCAAATTTAAAATTTGTTGTGCAATAAATTATACTAAATTTGTTATAATATAAAATTTATTTTATTATTTAGATATATAATCCTTTGAATATTAAGAAAAAATATATTAAAAAAAATATTCAAAATAAATATGTAAAAAAATTAATTTTCTTTTGGTATAATAAATAAGTCGTTCAACCCATTTTTATTTGATAAACTAGTTTAATCCATTTTTCAGAGTCACATACCAATAACTGAACAAGTCTAAATGAATTGAAATGACCCAATTTATCATTCCTCGAGGGAGATTGCTATAATTAGAATGGAATGATATAAAAGAAAATTGTTAAATGCGTGTAGAATCCCCTGTGGAGACCATTGTCCGGTTCCCCTTATTTTCACAGCCCCAGAGAAAAAGGTACTTGAAAGAAAGATTCTCTCCTGAGTCCTGTCCAAGATATAGAAATTAATCTCCTTTCTAAATGAAAAAATCAATAAGTAGTATAACATTTATATGTATATAATAATTATTAATTTTTATCATCTTACTTTATTAAAAATCTGCAGCTGATGACGCCACTGCACACGAAAAATATTTGAAAAGAAATATAGGTTAACAAGAGTAAATAAATAAATATAAGAAAAGAAAAGGCGACGTCCTCTAATATGCGCACATTTGTTATAATTGGAAAACATACAACACAACAGCAACGTGGATTTATATTTATTATAATTTTTTGTGATGAGCAAAATTTGCGAGCACACAGGCAGGCAGGGAGATATGGAAAGATAAAAATGGACAAATATGAAGATAAGTTGGTCCCACTTATTTGCTCTTCAAAGCTGCACTCGTAATCATCGTCATCACCGTTCACCACACGATGCTCTCTTCCACTTCCACCCTTTCCCATTAACAGCATACACCAGAAAAGATGAAGACACCCCACTTACCTTTCATGTTGGTTCTAGTGCTAGTGTTAGCCTCACGCTGTGCAGCAGAAGAGGCTTCCACTGCAGAAAGCATCATCTTCACCACACTTGGGAGAGCCTTCTACGCCTTCGACATCTATTCCCTCCCAATTCATGATCACCCACAAACTCTCACACCCAACCAAGAACTTCAACTCACCGATGGCCACTCCGTTAACTTCAACGGCCACTTCATCCCCAACACTTCCTCTATCCAACTCCCCACTCACTCCCCTCCTCTCCAACTCGTTTACATCACCGAGAGAAACGGCTCCCCCACCATTTACTACGACGCCCTTTACACTTGCACAACCACAAATCTAGACACAAGAATCCAAGTCCCTCTGTTACCCAACAGCCCCAGCGCCACTTCTAAAGTTTCCATCAAAGACAAGCCCAGCGTCACCCCCGATGGACAATATTTACTATACGTATCCACCCACGAGGACCCGGGTGTTCCACGGGCCAGCTGGGCCGCAGTTTACTCCACACACCTCCAATCGGGCCTCACCCACAGGCTCACCCCTTACGGTGTGGCTGACTTCAGCCCAGCCCTCTCCCCCTCCGGCCTCTGGACCGCGGTTGCTTCCTACGGCCCCCACGGCTGGGCCGGCGAAGTAGAGGATCTCACAACAGACATCTACGTTTTCCTCACTCGCGACGGAACTCACCGAGTCAAAATCGTCGAACACGGCGGCTGGCCCGCCTGGGTGGACGATCGCACCCTTTACTTCCACCGAAGAGGCCACGACCAGTGGTGGAGTATTTACAGAGCCATTCTCCCCTCCAACGCTCCCCTTTCCACCGACTCGGTCCTCGTCGAACGAGTCACCCCGCCGGGTCTCCACGCGTTCACACCCGCCACCTCACCGGGGAACAAAAACTTCATCGCCGTGGCAACAAGAAGGGCAGGCTCCGCTTTTCGGCACATCGAGTTATTCGATCTGGTTAAAAAGGAATTCACGGAGCTAACTCGGTTGGTCTCGCCTCGTTCTCACCACCTCAACCCCTTCCTCTCACCCGATTCAACTCGGGTGGGGTACCACAAGTGCAGAGGAGAACCCAACGCTCATAGCAGCCCCCAGTTTCTGCTCGAGAATGTTCGGAGCCCTGTCCCGAATCTAACTCTATTCCGGTTCGTGGGTTCCTTCCCGGTTTTCTCACCCGCGGGTGACCGAATCGCGTACGTGGAGATGCCTGGGGTTTATGTAGTGAACCGGGACGGTTCGAACCTGCGTAAGGTTTCAAACGCGATGGCCTTTTCCACTGCCTGGGATAGGGTTCGAGCGGGTGTGATATACACTGCGATTGGGGAAACATTTGCTTCGGAGAGCTCGCAAGTGGATATAGTATCCATGGACGTGGACGAGGGAAACAGCGTGAAGAGGTTGACCTTGGACGGGAAGAACAACGCGTTTCCGTCTCCCTCGCCGGACGGGAAATGGATCGTGTTCCGGTCGGGTCGTTCGGGTCATAAGAATCTTTACATAATGGATGCGGTGGGTGGGGAGAGGAAGGGGCTTCGAAGGTTGACGGAGGGTCCTTGGACGGACACGATGTGCAACTGGTCACCGGACGGGGAATGGATCGCCTTTGCATCTGACCGGCATGACCCGGGTAGCGGGAGCTTCGAGCTGTACCTGATCCGCCCAGACGGAAGCGGGTTGAGGAAGTTGGTGGAAAGCGGGTCGGGTGGGAGGGCGAACCACCCGTATTTTAGCCCGGATGGGAAGAGATTAACGTTTACTTCGGACTATGCGGGGATATCTGCGGAGCCAATCTCGAACCCGCATCACTACCAGCCTTATGGTGAAATCTTCAGCGTTAGATTGGATGGTTCGGACATCAAGAGGTTGACTCATAACTCTTACGAGGATGGAACACCGGCTTGGTCCCCCAAGTACATACCTCCGCTGAATATTGAGAAAGCCAAGGGAGGACCCTATTGCTCTTTTGAAGACTGTCATTGGCTCAACAATATGCCAAATTGGAGGGCTGTGGCTGCTTCTAGGCCTCACTGTGCTGCTCTGTAATGCCACTCTTGTCGTTGTTGTTATATGTTTAATACTACTTACTACTTAGTACCTACTATGCACTACGTCCTTAAATGTGTGCTAAAGCTGTATGTAAAGAGATTCTAGGTTCAGATTTTCATGAATCAATAACTGCTCTCAGCTCTAGTGCAACTTGCGTGCTCGGAGGTACTCGCCAGAAAAACAAGGGCATCAAAATCAAAATCACATACAAAATGTAATTCTTGTGCAGCTTTTAAAGGGAGAAAATAAACAAATTGTATGTGGATTGGATAAAGTTACACAACAATATATATCACTATTCATGTATCATCACCCATTTCAAAGGCTGTGCCAGGCTAAAATTATGGATTATGTATTAAAGTTAAGCAGCAAACTTTATTGGATTAAAGATTATACCAACCTTTTCAATTTATCCATGCCATATTCTTCCATCTTAAATATAAGAAAAATAATATTAATTTATTATAATTAATATCATTTAGATTAAATATATTTTTCATCTTCTTATTTTATTGTAAACATTTTATTTTAGTCTTTTAATTCCTAAATTTAAGTTAATGTTATTCTTTTTCAAAAGTGATTATTTTTAATTAAAAAGACATAAACATTATTGTGAGTTCTTGAGTTTCATATGAATCATATAATCCTAAAATATTATTTATATCTAGAAATATTCCAAATATTTTACTAGATCATTGATTATGTGTAAATATACTCAACAAAAACAAAGAAATGATCTCTAATTAATGTCATTATGTTTGTCTTCACTTTAACCTTTATTATCCTTAAAAAAAAATAGTCCAAAGTTTTTTTTTATTGATTTTCAATGAAATAGGCAACTCTTAAAATCAAAAATATTATGTGATATAATTTCATCGCATCCACCAAATTCTTTCTTTATACGATTATAATAATAGCTTGTAAAGTTAACAAGTGATTTTTTTTTTCAAATTTTACTTGTCAAGAATTTATAATCCCACCCAAGAAGAATTTTCAATTCTACTAACTTTGAAAATGTGTTCATGTGTGTAGGAGATACATAATATTTTAATTATGTTAAGTTTTAAATGTTTGATATAAGTAATAAAATTATTTATTAAAAAAATAATAAAATAATTTTTTTTTTAAACAGCAGCAGATAAATGTACAGGTAATTATCCATAAGAGATAGAAGTTATCTATAAGTAACAAGAATTGAAAATTTTAGTTCATTTCTAACTAAAAACATGGTAATCATTACAACATTTTGCCTATAAATAGGCCAAAAGGGAGTCGCATTCGTAACTTAAAAAGATGACTGATTGACCAATTTGAAGTAGTTTTTAAAATTAATTCCGTAAATAGAACTGTTTTGAAACTATTTACACTTTTGAAGCAGTTTACTACAGTGTCGTTACGGGTAATTTTTTTTTTTGTAATTACAATCGGCTTAAATTTAGTCGGTAGAAGTCGCTACAGGCTGTAGCAATTTTAGTAATATCGCTATGGGCTCCATTCCTATTTTAAAAATATAATTAATATATATTTTGTTATTAAAAAATTATTATATAAAGCTATGGGTCATAGCGACCTTGTTTATTAATTTTTTTTTCACATTTTTGTTTATAAATTTTATTAAAATATTTATTTGTGTAGTTATTTTTTTATTTTAATTAAGTCAAGGAAAAAAAATATAAAGAAAATGCAATAAAAAAAAGAAGTATAAAATAAAAACATTGTAAAAAATTGATAAATTAAATATGGAAAATTAAATATTAAAATATTTATTTGAGTACTTTTAATTAATTTTTTTTAAGTTTTACCAGTTTTTTTATATATTAATTTAAAAAAATGGACAAAAAAAGAAGTATTTAAAAAAAAAAGAGGATCGCTATGGGCCACAGTGACTTTGTGTCGCTATGGGTCCTAACGACATTATTTTTCATTTAATTTAAATTTTTAAGTTTTTCACAATTATTTTTTACAAAATTTAGAATTTAAATTAAATAATTTTATAAATTAATTAATTTATATGATATAGTCTATAGCGACTTTACAATCATTACAGAAAATAAAAAATAAATATAAATATAACTAAATTACACACAATCAAATTAAAAAATTTATAATTTAAATAAAATTATTTATTAAATTAATTAATTAATATGATATAACCTATAACAACTTTACAATCATTACAGAAAATAAAAAATAAAATACAAATATAACTAAATTACACACAATCAAATTACAAAATTTAGAATTTAAATAAAATAATTTTGTAAATTAATTAATTACAGGAAATTAAAAATAAAAAATACCTAAAATAGCAATAACCTGAAATATTTAAAATATATAAAGTTACATAAAAAAATAAATTAAATAATATAAATTATAATAACACTGAAAAAAAAAATACAAACATGATTTTTGGAGGGAGAGGGGACTATCACCGTCATGTAAATGGCTTATATATAGGGGTAAAAAAATTTTTTACTGTTAACATGCCACATGCCGACCTCCCATTAGATACAACCACGGTAAATAGACACATGGCGCGCATGCAAAGGAGGCGTTATGGGCTATAGCGACACAATGTCGCTATAGGCCATAGCGACTTCCATGTTTTTATATATTTTATTGTTATTTTTTTATTTTATTGTTATTTTGTTATTTTATTTTATATTATCAATTTTATTAAAATTTTAATTTTATACTTCTGTTTTATCCATTTTCTTTTCATTTTATTCCTTCATTTAATTTATTGATTTTAGTTTATATTTTAAATATTATTTTTACAATTTTTTCCTTCAGTTTATTTTTAAATTTTTATTTTATATATTTTAAATATTTATCAAAGGAGGCGCTCTGGACCATAGCGACATTGTGTCGCTATAGGCCATAGCGACCTTTTTTTTAATTTTATCTTATTCATATTTATATTATCAATTTTTTTCAAATTAAAATTTTATACTTTTGTTTTATTCCATTTATATTTTTAAATATTCTTAGCTTTATTTTTTTTTAAAAAAAATTATGCTATTTTTTATAAATAAATTGTGTCGCTATAAATATATTTTTTTTCTAATTTATTATATTATACACTATACAAAATTTTAAATAAATTTTATTTGTTTAAAAATATTATATATTCAATTTTTTAGTAAATTATTTTATAAATAAATATTAAATAGGTGGCGTTATAGGCTATAGTGACACTATGTCGTTATAGGCCATAACGACGTCCTTATTTTTTTATTTTATTTTATTCCCATTTATATTATCAATTTTTATCAAATTTTTATTTTATACTTCTGTTTTATTCTATTTACATTTTTAAATATTTTTAGTTTTGTTTTTTTATATTGTATTTGTTAAAAAATATTATATACTCAAATTTTTGGTAAATTATTTTATAAAAAATTATTTAATTGGTGGCGCTGTAAGTTATAACGACTTCATTAAAGCCGTTTTGTGTCGTGATGAGCTATAGCGACTTTGATAACATGGTGTTCATGGCTTCTCAGAATTTAAAAAATTACACGTGGCTTTGGTGTCGTTATGGGCCATAGCGACACTATAGTAAAATGCCCTAAAGGTGTAAATTATTTTAAAACAGCCCCATTTACGTAAATAGTTTTGGAAGCTACCCTACAATGGTCAATTAGTCTAAAAAGACAGGATAGTCTCGATAGAGTGAATGAAGAAAGAAAAGAAAATTGAAGGAAGAGAGAAAAAGAAAGAAAAAGAAAAGGGAGGAAGAAAAAAAAATATATATATATATAGAGTGAGTTATAATTATACTGGTGTAACTTTTATTAAGTGTTACACCACTCAATAACTTTATATTAAATGTGAATTTTGTAAATCCAACCGTTAGATTGAAAGTTCATATCACTTTATATGTGTATATCAAATTTTGTTAAAATTGAACAATAATTGAAGGTGATCAAAGTGTTCATATTTTATTATATTTTGAAATGAATATATTACGTCAATTTTGTTTTATATAAATGAAGTATCAAATCATCTTGGATTAATATAAAATTTTGTATATATGATCTAAGTGATATGAACTTTTAATTTAACGGTTGGATTTACAAAATTCGCATTTAATATAAAGTTATTGAGAGGTGTAACACTTAGTAAAAGAAAAATCTTATATATATATATATATATATATATATTCATTGAGGCAGCTTTAGATTATCTTTAAACACTTCTACTTATCTACTAAGGTAAGGGGGATGAGACTTTTATTTCTTTCAAATTTTCTATGTTGTTATATTTTATTTTATGTTACATCTATGTATATTTATTTAGTGAAATGCTCATAATCTTACTTATTTGTTTAATCTATGATACTTTTAACTCTAAATAACCAATAAGGTGTTACTAATTCATGTTGTTATATTATTTTATGATATTTACAATTGTCATGTAATTAATTTAATACTCTTAAACACTTCTTATTACTGTAAACTATGTTGTACTAAATCCTATTTAATTAAAAATATTCTAAATCATTTGGTATAAGCATTTTTATTATTTTTAATTATAATATAGTTTTGTTAATTTTCCTAAGCTCAACTTATTATTATATTATCATTCCTTACAAAGATAAATGTTAAACTATGGCCATAGGAATAAAAATTTTAAATTAATTTGTAGTTGGAGATTTGACCTTGGAGATTTAAATAAATAAAGAACTTAAGGTGAAATATCTTTTTGTCATATTGGAGATTATGATAAAATTCATTTATTTTGACTAGTCACTATAGAAATAATTCAAATTTCACTACAATAAAAAAAAATCTAAAATATATAATTAATATTGATTACAAATAATTTTATACATTCTATTATTTATTTGTAATTATTAGATAATTGTTCTCACTCCTTTTTTTGTTTTAAAATTAAATTAATTATATTATAAAATAGATGGATGTACCAGCAATTCCAAATCATTTTATAGTCGTTATTTTTGTTGTTTTTCCTAGAGGAAGTTGGAACATGGATGCAGTTTCTAATTTCATTACTTTTCAAGGAGTATAATTGTCTTCTTTTATATTTTTCCTCAATCAAGAGAATCTCACTATTATTGATGAACCTATCATAGTGACTTTCTTTTTACCACTTGTCAACCATACTAATCCAATTGTAAATTTATTTCCACCACCAATGTAATTATTATAATAGTTGTGTAAAAAAATTGTTTGTAAATATGTACTGTTCCTACCGTAAGTCCGCTGTCATCGTTAGGGTCAATGCATCTGAGGTATTGTTTGCTTTGGCACGCGTTAGGTCGTCACAATTTTGTCCTTTGAAAGGCGCCTCGGTGGGTTAAGGAGGGAGGGTGTTTATAAACTATCCTTAGCCTTGACTCTTGAGCAATGTGGGACTTCTAGGCATACCAGAACAAGCCCCCA